AAATAAATAAATAAATAAATAAATAAATAAATAAATAAATAAAAGGTGGAGAGAGAGAGAGAGCACTTCTATTTACTGCCTTACTCCCTAAGTGCCTGCAACAGCTGGGGATGGGACAGGCTGCAGCCAGGATCCAGGAGCTGGGCCAATCTGAAGCCAGGAGCTTCTTCCGGGTCTCCACATGGGTGCAGGGGCCCAAGGACTTGGGCTATTTCCTACTGCTTTCCCAGGCCATAGCAGAGAGCTGGATCGGAAGTGGAGCAGCCAGGACTTGAACCCACACCCATATGGGATGCTGGCACCACAGGCGGTGGCTTTACCTGCTATGCCACAGCGCCGGCCCCCTGAAGCTGGCTTTTTACGCAAGACAATGTCTTGAACACACTCTGGTTTTTTGAGGGTCTGTCCTTCCCTAACTAGACCCGAGGGGTGGAGCCTGCACAGGCGGGCACCTGGGAAGTCTTCGGACGTGTGCTATTCCTGCAGTGCTCACGGTCACCGGGGAGCCCTGCCACTTCCCCTTCCAGTACCACCGGCAGCTGTACCACACCTGCATTCACAAAGGCCGGCCAGGCCCTCGGCCCTGGTAAGACTGTTCCGCAGTTGCAGCGGGGCCCGGGAGGGATGGATGCTGCCCCTCCTGCTGTCCAAGGAGCCCTGGAGAGAGGGGACTGTGAGAGGGAGGGTGGGCCGGGTCCCTGGGCAGAGCAGGGGAGCCTTATGTCTTTCTCCAGGTGTGCTACCACCCCCAACTTTGATCGGGACCAGCAATGGGCACACTGCCTGGAGCACAGGGATGTGAAAGGTGCTGTTCACAGCCACCAGGGTGGCGGGGGCCTCCCTCCCCCAGTTACTCTCCTGGGTATCCTCAGACCCCCACACCTGGGATCCTAGCCCCAGCCCCTTCCCTCCCTCCAGAACACCTTTCAGAAGCCCAGAGGAGTAGTCCCATTTTGCTGGTGGGTAAACCAAGGCTTGGAGGCTTCAAGTTCCATGGTTCCAAGTGGGTTCAGGTAGGGGCCTGACTCAGGCTCCTGCCTTCTTCCTCCCGGTGCCCATCTCCCAGATCATTGCAGCAAACACAGCCCCTGCCACAAAGGAGGGACGTGTGTGAACACACCCAGGGGGCCGCACTGCTTCTGTCCGGGACACCTCACTGGGAAGCACTGCCAGAGAGGCAAGCAGATGCTGCAGGCCCGGGGGGCGTGGGCGCGGGGACCCGGGAGGGAGGGGCAGCGCTCGGCCGACCAAAGAGGTTCCTGGATCTCTGCTGAGGCCACTGTCCCCATCTTCCCCAGAGAAATGCTTTGAGCCCCAGCTTCACCGCTTCTTCCACGAGAATGACATGTGGTACCGATTCGAGCGGGCAGGTGTGGCCAAATGCCGTTGCAAGGGCCCCGACGCCCACTGCAAGCTGCTGGCCAGCCAGGGTGAGTGCACTGGCTGGGACCTGGCCAGGGACTGGGGCTAGAGGTCAGGAGGAGGAGCTGGCAGGGGTGTGCTGGGGGGGGGTGTGCCTTAGCAAAGGGGTCTCAGTGCCCTCCTTCCTCCAGCGTGCCCCACCAACAAGTGCCTGAACCAAGGCAGCTGCCTAGTGGCAGAGGGACACCACCTGTGCCATTGCCGCCCACCCTACACAGGACCCTTCTGCGACTTGGGTAAGTGAGGGTCTCAGGCCAAGCAGAAGTCCCGCCTCCACGTGGGAAGGGCTTGGGAGAGGGAGGACGAATAGGGTAGCGGTTGCGATGGCGGGAGAGCCACCCACGGGCTGCCAGAGTCTCTCTCTCTAGACACTCAGGCCAACTGCTATAAAGACCGCGGGCTCAGCTACCGGGGCTTGGCCAGGACCACGCTCTCAGGAGCCTCGTGTCAGTCCTGGGCTTCGGAGGCCACCTACCGGAACATGACTGCAGAACAAGCGCTGAGTCGGGGTCTGGGCGACCACGCCTTCTGCCGGTGCGCCGGAGTGGGGGCGGGGCAAGGTGTTATCCCCCCTCCCCACCTCCCCGGTACCTCAGGGCCGTCTGTGGCCCCTCACTCTCTAGCAGCTCCCCCGCCCCGTGGTTACAGGAATCCGGACAACGACATCCGCCCGTGGTGCTTCGTGTTGAGCGGAGACCGGCTGAGCTGGGAGTATTGCGACCTGGCGCCATGCCAGGTTCCAACCCAGGCAACACCTCCAGTGCAGGTCCTTCCTGAGCGTCAGAACCTACCCTTGCCCCCGCCCTCCGCAGTGCAGAAGCCTCAGCCCACCACGCAGCCGCCACCGCGGGCTCCCACCCCAGGTAGTTAGGGAGCGGGGACAGCGAGGGAGGCCTGGGGCGGGGGTGGGGGCGAGTTCCAGCAGGGGGCAGGAGTCGAGCCAGACTCCAGCCAACCCCCAGGGCCCTCCTGGCCTCAGCCTGGACTCCTCCCACAGCCTCGCCCGAGGTGTCCCAGCTGCAAATTCCCCTATCCCGGGCCGACTCGCTCAGCTGCGGACAGCGGCTCCGTAAGCGGCTGTCCTCGCTGAGCCGTGTCGTCGGCGGGCTAGTCGCTCTCCCCGGGGCACACCCCTATATGGCCGCGCTATACTGGGGCCACAACTTCTGCGCCGGCAGTCTCATCGACTCCTGCTGGGTGCTGACGGCGGCCCACTGCCTGCAGGACCGGTGAGTACTCCCACCCCACCTTCCCGGGCCAGCGCCCCTCCGGGGAACCTACTCCTCCATCCTCCGAGCCTGGTAAGCACGCCAACCCGAGCCTGAACCCTACCTTCCGCGCCCCTCTGGAGCTCTCCAGGAGCAAGTGGAAAGCCAGGAAGGGGTTCGGGAGCAGCCCCCCTCCCCCGGGCCTTTCAGCTCAGGGGCGCGGCCTGTCCCCCACTGCGATCATAGGCCGGCGCCCGAGGAGCTGACGGTGGTGCTGGGCCAGAGCCGCCATAACCAAAGCTGCGAGCAGTGCCAGACGCTGGCCGTGCGCTCCTATCGCCTGCACGAGGCCTTCTCGCCCAACAGCTACCAGCACGACCTAGGTGCGTGGGGGCATCCCCTGGGAGTGCGAGGGGGAACGGTGGGCTCCAGGCCTCAGCGCCCCGTCTCACGCTTCTCACCGCCCGGGTTAGCTTTGTTGCGCCTGCGGGAGAGCGCCGACGGCAGCTGCGCGCTCCTGTCGCCTTACGTGCAGCCGGTGTGCCTGCCTAGCGGCGCCGCCCAAACTCCCGAGTCCAAGACGGCGCTCTGCGAGGTGGCTGGCTGGGGCCACCAGTATGAGGGTAGGCGCAGGAGCTGAGGGCGGGAGGGAGCCCTATGGGCAAGTTTGGGGCCCGTGCGCCGGGATGCCTACAGGGGAGGCGGCTCTGGGAGAATGCAGGGAGGGTCCTTGTCTCTGCAGTCTGCTCTCCCCGGGGGCCTGGGATTCACTGCTGGGGTCCCCAGGTCTCCTGAGGGTACCGGGAAGGCACTTCCTTCTTGCCTCTGGGTGCTAGGCTGCAAAAGCTAATTAGGACGCTGGCTGCGCGCTCCAGCAGCCAGAGGACCAGTTCGGCAGCCGGGTTCTGAGACCCAAGGAGCCGGCTCCTCTTGGAGCTCCGCCCTTGCAAATCCCTGCTCCTCTCTGGGCCCCTGAAACCGAGTGAACGTCACTGCCTCGCTGTCGCGCTTGCTGCGACGGAGTGAGGACCGGAGCGAGCGTCGGGGCGCCGGCCCGGTTTCGCCCCTCCTGGGGGCGTGGTCCGGACGGCTGCCTGGAAGACGCTCTGGGTCGGCAGGGGCGGAGGAATACTCCAGCTTCCTGCAGGAGGCGCAGGTGCCCTTCATCCCCTTGGAGCGCTGCTCGGCCCCCGATGTGCACGGAGCCGCCATCCTCCCTGGAATGCTGTGCGCTGGCTTCTTGGAGGGCGGCACCGACGCCTGCCAGGTGAGCCCTCGGGCCGGCTTGGCGCCTCCTCCCAGCCCAGCAGACCCCAGGCCGAGGGCGCTGAACTGCGTGTCCCCGACTCAGGGTGACTCCGGGGGCCCTCTGGTGTGTGAGGAAGGGACCGCTGAGCTTAGGCTCACCCTGCGAGGCATCATCAGCTGGGGCTCGGGCTGTGGAGACCGCTACAAGCCAGGCGTCTACACTAACGTGGCCAACTACTTGGCATGGATCCAGGAGCACACCGCTTCCTGAGCACCCGGAGACGTGTCTAGGACGTGATCGTGGTCGGCGAGGACAATGGCCATTCCCCCACTGCGCCGCCAGCCTGCGCTAGGCGCCGGAATTTAATAAAGCGCTTTGGAAAACCGTGAGGGGCAGTTCTTTCCGGGGGTCCGCTTGGAAACGCCAGGCCGAAAACCCGCGCACTGCTTCTACACAGCTTGCAGATAACAGGGCCTGTGAGATCGCCACACGCGCGTTTTAGGTCCCTAACCAGCTCACATTTCTGTGTGGCACACCCTGGGCGAGGTGGCCGCGTGTTACCGCTCACGAGAAATTCAGGCACACCTGCAGTCTACGGAGAGGCAGATCCCAGCCTTGTTTGCGCATCGGGGTCACCCGGGGAGCTTTCTCTATGCCCAAGACCCACCTTGGGCCAGTTAACTCGGTGTCTCCAGGCACGGGGAGTGGAGAGCAGGACGCTTCCAAAACTCCCCAGGTGATGGCATGCGCAACCGCGATGGAAAACCACGGGTAGAGCTGGAGGACCGGCCGGCGGCTCCTCTCGCCCTTCTGCCTGCTCAGAATGTCACCGGGGTTGCCCTGCACCTTGTTGGCCGCGACAATGCTTAGGCTGCAGAAGCTCCAGCTGGGACCCCGCGGTCTGGAGATCCGGCTGCACTTAGGGGCTGCGAGGGTGCACAGTCCAGGCACGCGGCGTCATTTTGTCCTTAAATCCCTCTTTTTTCACCTAGATGTTGGCGTCCGTGGGTTACTTTGACGACTCTGTCTCTCCCACAAGCTAACTTTAGAACTCCCCCACCCCCACCCCCCTCGCCAGACTCCCTCCAGCCCAAGTAGCCTCTCTGTGACGCCACAGCGCGTCACAGTCCCGCACTCGCACGCGCCCCAGCGCCAGGAGCCGGAGCGGCGAGACCTCTCTCTCCGAAGCAGGCGGAGGGGCGCGCTCCGAGCAGGATGGGCGACTGGAAGGGCTACATCAGTGCGGTGCTGCGGGACCAGCGCATCGACGACGTGGCCATCGTGGGCCACTCGGACAACCGCTGCGTGTGGGCGTCGAGGCCCGGGGGCCTGCTGGCGGCCATCTCCCCGCAGGAGGTGGGCGTGCTCACCGGGCCCGACCGACAGACCTTCCTGCAGGCGGGCCTGAGCGTGGCCGGCCGCCGCTGCTGCGTCATCCGAGACTACCTGCTGGCCGAGGGAGACGGCGTACTGGACGCGCGCACCAAGGGGCTGGACGGGCGCGCCGTCTGCGTGGGCCACACGCCGCGCGCGCTGCTGGTGCTCATGGGCCGGCGCGGCGTGCATGGCGGCCTCCTTAACAAGACCGTGCACGAGCTGATCCGCGGGTTGCGCACCCAGGGCGCCTAGCCGGCCAGCCAGACCCAATAAACTGTGATCCGGGGAGCCGCAGATTCACGCTCCTGTTGTGTGTGTGCGCGCGCACGGGCCTGGGGGGTTGCAAATAAGGAAAACGGCTTCTGGTAAGAGCCTTGCAAAAGAGCTACCTGGTGAGGCTGGGATTAGGGCTCCCTAAGGGGACCTGCACCCCACCTGCCCTTACACTTTGCAGAGGCCTGTGGCCTGATGGGAGGCTCCTTGGCGCCCTGCCAGAGTCCTAGGGACCCTGCAACCGAGAAAGTCCAAGGGTGTGGGCCTTAGCGTCTTGTTTCCAGATATTTCCGCACATCTAGGCAGGACAAAGAGCTGCCAACACCTGTCCACAGGCAGCCACCCGCTAGGGGCTGTGTGGTCAGGGAGTCGGAGAGGCTCCGCTCCACTGGGCAGAGCTCTAGCAAGGCTTGGGGAGTGAGTGATGGGATGCGGCTGGAGGCTTGGAGAGCAGCTCTGTGGGTCCTGGGCCCCTGCATCTCCTCCCCCCTTGCCCCTACCCTACCCCTGGCACACAACGCCCCATATACTCAGAGGGGAGCCTACTGAGCAGACAAATGTGCAAGACCATCCCAGCCAGGTGTGGGGTCCTACAGCCTGCCTTCCCTGCTTGCTGCCTCCCTGGGGTCCAGGGCCTGAGAAGAGTCTGTGGACTAGAGGGAGGAGCGTTGCCCACCCCCAGGCCCTGCGGCTCACTCTGCAGACCTCAGCCCCAGGATGCCCTAGGAGAAGGAGGAATTGGAAAGCCCGGGTGAGTGTAAGTGAGGCCTGGTTTATGCCCAAAGATGGAAGGTAAAGATGAGAGGGGTGGTGTCTGGCCCCTGTGTCCTACGTGCTGGGGCCCAGAGCCTGGCCTCTGGCCCATCTCCCACCCTCCCTGTGCCTCCTCCAGTGGCCCTGCCAGACTTGCACCTATCACTGCTCTGCAACCTGCTCCTGTCCCAGCGAGGGGAAGTGTGTAGGGGTGAGTTCAGAGGACAGGGGGAAACCGGAGGGTGCAGGCAGGTCAGCAAATGGAGTTGCAGAGTCTGCCTCACGCCTGCCTTGGGCTGGTCCCGGGCCCCCACACGCTTCCAGGGAGTTTGCATTGAGGAGTGGATTCAACACAGGGCCAGGCGGGTCCTAGGGGGAGCCTGCAGGAATGACCTCTGCAACTGTGTGCCTCCGGCCAGGGCAGCCTGCTGTTGCAGCGAGACTTTGGTGGGGGGATAGCGCTACCGTCTTACCCATGGCTGGAGAGCAAACAGACTTCCAAATGCACACTGAGAGTTTAATTCCTTTCTCGTTTCTTATCAGGTAGTGCTGGCAAAGGGGGTTGGAGAGGTGCGGAGGACCTGGGTGACGATGAGAGTGGGATAGCAAAGGAAGGTGGCAGGGAGGGGGTGGAAATTCAGTCAGTGACTCAGTCACCCACATCTGTGCATCAGCAAATGGCTGTAGTCATGTACTCAGTCCCACTCTTATTCCTGCCCATCACAGGCCTCCCCACAGGTGCAGAGGACCCAGAATCGTACCCAGATACCCGGCAGCCTGCACTCAGTGCCCCCGCAGGTGCATCTGCACACACATGTACTCAAACGTGCCAGCTTCTACACAGGTTCAAGTGCACACACAGTCACCCCCAAGTGTCACATGCTTAAGGACAGGCGCCCAGGGTGGCGTGCATGCACATTCAGGTGCACACGCAGCCCTCCGCCCTGCCACCTTGGGCTCCGTGCATGGGCCATCACCTGCACCAGGCAGCAGTCTGGGCCCATGGTCTAGAGGCGGGTAGCATTGTGGTGAGCAGGCAGTGCGAGGCGGGGGGAGGGCGTGGCGGGGGGCAGTTCCTCCAGGAAGACCCTGGCAGGCAGCTGGGGTGAGCGGGGCTCGGACCTGGAACAGCACAAGGTGGCGTGGGTGATGAGGTGGTCCAGGGGTTGCAGGGAGTGCATCCAGTGTGGCAGGAAGTCCCACGTCTGCAGCCACTTGGGCAAGCGCCCGGGACTTCGACTTTGCAGGACGTTGATGAGCACCACGAAGGCCAGCAGGGCCCCAAAGGGTGCACCCACCCCTACCATGGCCCGCCAGCCTGCCATGGAGATGCCAAACACCAGCGAGGGCAGCAGCAGGAAGCATACGAGGAGGTAGAGGACAGCGAACCAACGGTACTTGGCGGTGCGTTTGCCCAGCGCCTTGGCCATGCGGATGGGCAGGCGTGTGCAGGGCAGCGGGTACCAGAGCAGGATGCCCGAGATGTTGAAGAAGAAGTGGCACAGGGCGATCTGCAGGGGCGCAGGCAGCGAGACCGAGGTAAGCAGCTCCCACCTCCCATGTGGGGCCTGGTATAGCCACCACTTAAGGTTGCGGTGACCCGGACCCCACCCCACCCCCACCCCACGCTGGCTGCACTGAAGACTTGAGATGCTTCTGAGTAGCTGTATGTTGTCACTCCCTGAACTCCCCCGCTGTCACCTCTCCCGGGAGCTCCCAAGTGATTTCATTGATCCCCAGCAGCTCCAAGATCTCTCTGGACTCTGGTTGGCTCAAGGCTGTGAGTTGCCAGTCACTCCTTTGCTTCCAGAACAGCCCCCCTTTGCTATCTGCACCCAACCCTTCCCCTACCCCCACTGTTCTCCTCCCAGACTGAGCCAGGTCTGCCTCAGCACCGCTTGCTCCTGGTGCAATCCCCCTTGCCAGGGTTCGTGGTGAGATTACTGAGCAGTGTCTCTCTCCCTGCCATGTGCTGATGTGTTTGGGGGAGGAATCAGGTTGACTTTGGCCATGCTGGTTTGCACATGGCATAGCGAGTGGCTCTTAATAGGCAGTCAGAACCTAGTTGTTACCTGTGGCCACACGCTGGGTCCCGTGCCCAGCCCCATCCTGCCTCTCCGGCGGGGCCACTCCCAGACATACCTGGAAGGAGCTGGACAGCTTCTCCCGGGGGCTGGCCAGGGCAGCCAGGATAGCGGTGGTGGTGGTGCCGATGTTGGAGCCCAGTGTGAGAGGGTAGGCTCGCTCGATGCTGATCACTCCCAAGCCTGGGTGGGGGTAGGGGGCCGGGTGGGGTAGGGGAAGAGGATGCGGTTCCCCAAGCTCCCCCCCAACCAGCCTGCTGTCCTCAGTCTACCCCACCTTGGCTCGGCCAGGCACTCACCGACGAGTGGAGTGATGGCCGAGGTGAACACGGAGCTACTTTGGACAATGAAGGTCATAGCCGCTCCCACCACCATGGCGAAGTAGCCCGTGACCCAGGTGAAGGGGGCAGGCAGGTCTGCAAGGAAAGCCCATGCCAGCAGCCCGAGTCAGCAGAGGGGGCTGGGAGAGCAGGGCCTGCCCTGGGCAGCAGGCGTCCGAGGCCAGGCCCCTGCTCAGTGCCCTCCACTCACTCTTGATCGTGGACGAGAGGCCTTTTCCCACCTGCTGTGCCCAGGCCGCCATGCCTTTGCCTGGCCGGGCCCGCAGCTTCCCCACAAGACCCTACTCAGTGTCTGAGTGTGCATCCTCAGGACACGGCCCAGACACCTGGCAGTAAAGCCCTCCTTGGCCCCACCCACCTGCAGGCTTGGTGTCTCCCCTCTCTGGGCCCCCACGATACCACAGTGCCCTTTCCTCCAGCGCCTGTCACAGGCCACTCCCAGGGCCAGTGTCCCCAAGGCTCACAGTGAAGCTTACCATGAACGTCGGATGATGTCGCCTCCGCCCCAACCCCCTGATGGCTCCCCTTACCCTTGCCAGGCTGGGAGCAGAGCCTCGAGGCCCTGAGGTCTGGCCCGGCCCCCTCACTTCTCTGGCCATGCCCTGAAGTCTCCTCTACTGCCGTGCTGCTAGCCGCTCTTCTGTGCCACGAGCCTGCCCCCGAGCCTGGGCACTTGCTGCTCCCACCACCCAGAATGCTCTTGGTCCACAACCTGACCGCGTGTAGAGGCCGCTGCCCATCAAAGCAGCCTGTGCCGCACTCCTCAGCTGCCATCTTTGCTGTCTCCCTGGCAGCCACCTTCCTTGTTCTCTGCGATTATCCTGCGTTCCCACCTTGCCCTCTTGGGCTCTGAGCCCCTGAAAGCAGCCTCTGCATCCCCCACATCCTGCAAGTGGCTTCGTGACTTTGTCTACAGCCTCTGAGAAGCTGCACCTGCCGGGATGGTGGCCCTGAGGCTCACCCTCCAGGCGACTTTGAAATCGCCTGGTCTGATCCCTTCTGTGTTCACGTGCGGAAATACAGGCCCAGGAGATGGTAGGGGCAGGACATGGCTTTGGAAGGATTTGGAGGGGCCGCTCGCTGCTTGCTGCTCACCGGTGTTGATCACTTTCTGGATGACCTTGGCCACTTGGCCCTTGAGCAGGGAGTTGAGCATCTTGACAAGGAGAATGAGACAGGTGCACAGGAGCACCAAGGAGCCGGCCAGCAGGATGAGCCCCACGGCCAGGTCGGGCAGCTGCGTGTCCACGAAGATGTGATTGCCTGCAGGGGAGTAGCTGAGCTTCTGGGAGCTGGCCCCACATGCAGCCCCCACTGCCCACCTTGGCCACCCCTTTGGCTCTGGGCCTCAGGTCCCACTCTGGGCTCCTTCGGCCTCCAGACCAAGGCCTGAGTCTCCCTTCCTGGGGCTGGAGGCGGCAGTGGCTGGGCTGGGGCGGCCCCACCCTGCCGTGGGGGACACCTGCCGTGTCGCAGGCACTTACATTTCTCCATGGTGGCATTTCCATGGGTCCGGCTGATGTTGGTCTCTGCCCTGGCCATGGAGGTGGAAGCCTAGATTAAGAGGAGTGTGGATTTAGGAAAACGCAGTCTGGGGTTGGCACTGAAGTGGGGGCGGGGGAGACGGGGTTTCCTGACTCTGCGGCGGTGGGCAGGTCACTTGCCTTCTCTGAGCCTGTTTCCTTTGCTAAAGAAACGTGGCTGAGCATGCTTGCCCCATGAGAAGCTGAGCCTGGCCGGCCCTCTGCACAGTCTGTCTGCCCCATCACCCCTCTGGCCTGGCTCCCTGGGGGCCAGCAGGTTCCCAAACCCAGCAGCTCTGGGCTCCACTTTCCTCCACGCTCAGTGGCATTGGATGCTGCTGACGGGCGCAGAGGCCACAGGGTGGGCAGGATGCCTAACTGAGGAGCTCAGCTAGGAGAGGAGGAGGTGGGTGTGTGTGTGCTGGGTCTATGGGGGCGGCAGCTCCTGAGCTCCAAGCCATCGTCACCATCGGAAGCCACGGCTCTGATACCTTAGGTGAAATCTCCCAATCTTCACAGTGCAGGGGGCAGTATGGCAGCCTTGCCTGGTCCACGGGCCACTAATTTGTAGTCCCACTGGGTCAAGGAGTCATTATAGAAAATGTGGCCCAGGTCTTGTCACTGGTGCCCCCCAGGAGCCCAGCAAAACCCAGCGGTGACAATAGAAAGTGGGCGGGGCATAGATGGGCAGACACCCTGCTCACTGCTAGGGAATCCTCTCCACAATGGACAGCTGTTCCCAGGGCTGCACGTTAGTGCCCCCTCCCTGCAGTCTTGGGGCCCCAAGCAAAATGCAAGAGCTGTAGCTTCCTCCTGTTCACATTGCGCCTCTTCTGGGAGCTGCTTTGGGCACTGAAGCCATCTCTGCCCGGGGAGCTCAGCACCCCCCCCCCCCAGGGCCCTCCCCCGGTGCCGAGGGTAGGGGCTGGCACTTCAGCGTTCATAGCTCCTTCAGGTTTTGTTCTGAGCCCTGTGTCATAGGGCAGCCATCAGAACCGCTGATGACATTCCGCTTGCTACTGTTAGGGTTCACCTGCGTGGCACATGCTGCCTTGGGGAGAGCGCTGTGTGTTCCCAACTTGACCCCCACTAGGCCTTGGGGTACTGCCAAGCCTGGAGGCCTGAGCTGCAGGCCCATAAACCAAGGGCAAATGACCTCCAATGGGCTAGATAGGAAAACCAGGCTGGGAAACTGATGCTAGCCCCATGCAGGCAGAGGAGAGGGACTTTGCTTTGCCTGCCTGGGCTGTTCAGGCTCCCAGGGTTGTGTGAGGGTGATTTCCTGGGTCAGGACCGAGGGCTCCAGGCCTGGTAGGGAGGGTCCTGGGAAGCAGGTGACCCCCTGAGGAATTACCTGACCAACTCATACCCTTCTGACCTACCCTGGGCCGAGCCCAGGGGTCCAGGGGTCGGGGCCTGTGGCATCTGGGGAGGCTGGAGGACACTACTGAGCTTTGCAAGGCAGAGTCAGGAGCAGGGCAGGGCTGAGGGCCAAGACCTAAGGGATTGTGGAGCCTTGGTCTTCTTGGTTGGACTTGTGTGGTCCTGGCTGTGCCCCAGGGGTAGTGAAGTATGAGAGAGCAGTGCAGAGGTGGAGCGGGGTGGGGGTGGAGGGGTGGGATGGGGACAGAGAGCAGGAGCAGGCCCTGGGGCTTTCTTGCAGGGCAGGGGGAGGAGGTGGGAAGTCCAGCCTTGCTTGGGATGCCTGTATCTCCTAGCACAATGCTGGTTTGAAGCCCTACTCCATTAAAAATACATTTATTTATTATTTTTATTTGAATGTCAGAGTGACAGAAGGGGTGAGACAGAGAGAAAGACAGATCTTCCACCTGCTGGTTCACTCCCCAAATGCCCACAACAGCCAGGGCTGGGCCAGGCTGAAGCCAGGAGCTCAGAACTCCATCCATGTCTCCCATGTGGGTGGCAGGGACCCAAGGACTCATCGAGACACCATCATTGGGTGTCTCCTAGGTGCATAGCAGGAAGCAGGATCGGATGCAGAGAGACCCAGATGGAGTACTGGGCTCCTGGCTTCAGCCTGGCCCAGCCCCAGCCACTGTGACCGTTCAGGGAGTGAACCAGGGGATAGAAGATCTCTTTCGTCTCTCCCTGTCTCCATCACTCTACCCTTCAAATACATACATAAATAACTCTTAAAGAAGCTCCAGCCTGGGTGACAAAGCTGGGGGCCCTGGGACCTGGGGGTGCATTGCCAGCATGCCCCTGTTCCTGCCTGGCCCTGGGGGGTGGGGAGGCTTGGTGAGCCCTCGGGGAGAAGCAGAATGAACAAGCCGCACCCCAGCTGAGCCATTCCCAGCTTTGACGCTGGCCCGCTGGCCCGGGTAGTCCACCACGCGGCCCGCCTCTCGCTGGCGCCAGCTGGTAGCATCGTGGAAGCGGGAGTTGGGGTTGAAGTGCCTGCAGGGATGCCTCCAATAAGGCAGACACCTCTGGGACCAGCGGGCGCTGAGGCGGCTCCGGGAATCCTTCCTCGGAGACAGCACGGGACGTGGGCCTGCGCAGTAGCTTCCCCTGCAGCCTTTGTTCTTCTGAGACCTGCGAGCACGCTGCCAGCAGCGCCATCTGGTGGCGAACAGGGGCTCTCGCTCCCCGAATGGGTTTCCCCGCGGTAGGGTCTCCGGCCGTGTGAGAAAGCGACACGAGGACACCCGACGGGCGTCTTGGAAAGGCAAGACGGGAGTCGGGATCGTTCCAGGGTCTGCAGCCTACTTCAATTGCTTCAACTTAAGCGAGGCACTTTCCTCTCTGAAATGGGGATGTGACCATCCCGGCTTCCCAGGTGACAAGTCCTGGAGAGATGCTGTGCAGACCAGGCCGATCTGGGTGACAGTAGGCGGTAATGTGGCTGCACAGGAAGGTGATTCCCTGGAGCAGCGAGACGTGCTTGAACACTAAAAATGCCTGCTTGTTCTTTCCCCATCTGCAAAGCCTCAGACTCTCAGCCTCTGTTCGGTGGAGTGGGCTCCCTGGAGACTGCCTTGGGCTGGGTCGGGTCCAGCGTGGTGACAGCTGGGGGCGCTGAGAGCAGTTTGGAAGGCAGCACAAGGAGGACTCTGTGGTCAGAGTGAAAACACGCACCCTGCAGGTGGCATCCCAGCAGCATTGCATCCGAGGCCGGGGTAGGGGGCGGGAATGACCATGTAGCAGCAGGTGGAAGGCGGGGTGCTCAGAGGAAGCAAGTGCCGCGTCTCTTCCCCGGCTTGTTTTCGGTGAAGATGAAAGCGAGCGATTTCTCTCTCCCCTTACAGGCTTTGCTCAGAAGTAGAGAGGCTTGTGTTGGCTCAGAGAGCTCGGGGAGTGCCCAGGGCGCTGGCGAGAAGGCAGCTGGTGTGTCAGGGAGGTCACAGAGCCAGCATAAAGCTGCCTGCATGCGCTTTTTGATGTCATACTGCCTCGAATAGACTCAGAGGTGCTGAGCTGGAGCTGCACGCCACTTCAGAGGCAAAGGCTCATCCAAGGCGAGGTGATCGAGGGTTTCCCTTCATGTGGGGATGAAGGCTCAGTAACACGGAGCAGCGAGAGGAGAGAGTGGTGCTGGTGCCGTGGGCTGCGGGTTTCCCTGAGCATTGTTCTAAACGGAGTCGCTCGGAGGAAATAATCAAGGACAAGACGCAGTGGGTAGTGATTTAGATGAAGGCTTTTCCTTTCGGTAGCTGCTCATGGTTCCCGAGTGCCTGCTTCCTGGTTAGCCTGGCGTACTGGCCAGCCCCGACTGTGCAGCCCATCCAAGCAGGTCTTCCAGGGACTTGCACCTGGGGCGGTGTCCCAGAGAAGCAGCATGGATGGCAGCACGCACACACGGCTGTGGTGTCTGCGAGGGGTCTCCACACAGCGCCCCATCCCGTCCCCGAGCCAGCTTTCCTGTGTGCCTCTACCCCACATCAGGCAGAGCTGGTCACAGAACCCCCGATGCTCTAGGGCCCTGGCTCCTCAGCTCTGGCAAGTTTCTCAGCCTCTCTGAGCCTGTGAATCCAGAGAGTTGTGCTAGAACAGTGGAGAACACACTTGAGCCTGGTGCAGACCCGGAGGGCTTGCTGAAACACAGGCTGCTGGGCCCCTCCCGGGGTGGGGGGTCTTGTGACATAGGGGGTCCAGGGAACGGTAGGCTGATCTGCATGGTTAAGATTCCCACATGGCACTGGCTGCTGGTCTGAGTCCACCCTGAGAACCATTGGACTAGATCGATGACACCCCAACTGCCATTGATTGGTAATGTCTGCATAGGGCAGTGTGTGAGGCTGGGAGCAATTAGCAATGTGTGACACAGGCACGGTCTCAATGAAAGTGCCACCTTTCTGGAGATTTTGAACAATGAATCCAACAGACTGATGTTTGAAGAGGGAGCCCTCTTACCAGGGTTCAGGCCTGAGACTCACCTCCACGGGGTCTCGGTGGCACCAGATCCGGATGAGACTGTGGTTCCTTAGGGATTCGTCACCTGTGGCAATGCTGGTGATCACGGACCTGTCCAGCTATGGGCCAGAGATGGGCAGGGGGAGTGAGGCTGAGACTCCTGACTGCTTCCCAGCTGCCCACCCACACCCCATGCCAGATCCTGCCCCTGCCTGGATGATGAGCTTTGTGAAGGGCTCCGTGATGGTCTTGAGCAGGTCAGGAGCATCGCGGCCACCACGGATGTTGAAGGAGGCGACCACGAGCCCAGTGACGTGGTGCAGGTAGCCGGTGGCAGCCTCCAGGGGCAGCAGGACCAGAACGGACAGCCAGTTAAAACAGTCATGCACTGTGGCCCCTGCGAAGGCCCTGGGCAGGGGAGGCCACATTGCAGGACAGGCCGGAGCCAAGGGCAGGGCTTGGGCTGGGGGTATCCTGGTGTCTCCTCCCCACCCTCCGACAAGCACAAACCCTCCACCCCCTCCCCCCTCACCGCCGGAAGTCAGTCCTGTCCCCTGCCTGCATCAGGGCCACGATGGTGTTGGTGACGGAGGTGCCAATGTTGGAGCCCATGATGATGGGGATGGCAGAGCTCACCTCCAGCACTGGTGAAAGAGGGGACCCCTAAGCTAACTGGGTGAGGGCCACCCAGCTCCTCACCCCCCAGAGTCCCCATCAGGGCAAGGCAGCCATTCCCACCAGACCACACATCTGCCCGGCCCCGTGTCACTGTGTGGGGGGACACGCTCTGTCATTCTGTGTGTGCATGCCAGGCCAGGGTGGTGACGAGTGTTACGTGCCCACTTGCCTAGACTGCTGTTGTATCCAGTTTCTCAATCCAACACAAATCCCAGTGTCTCTGTGTAGGTGCTTGGTAGATGTGGTTCACACCCACAAGTAGTTGAAGTATGGGAGACCATCCTCAGTTACCTGGGCAGGCCCCCACCCCATAAGAGGAAAGGCCTTGAGGGGGAGAACTGGGGCTGCCCCCAGGGAGAGGATTTTGTAACAATGGCCGCAGCCCTGGCTCCTGCCTGAGCAGCCTGGCCTCTCTTGCAGCGAGGCTGTGCTACGATCCCAGACTGGCCCAGCCAGCAGCTCTTCCTCCATAGAAACCAGTTCTGTGGATCCTCTCGTTAGCGCCTGCAGGATTGGTCTCTCTGGCTTCCCTGACTGGTCCAAGGAGTGACTGTGAGGCCGTATGGAGAAAAGCAGTCCCGGGGGGCTATGCACCCCGTTTTCCACCTTGCCCAGTTCCGGGGCTGCCCCTCCTGGATCCCGTCCTTGCCCATGCTTGAGGTGGTGCCAGGACCCGATCTCCGCCCTCTGCCCCTGTCCCCACTCTGCCTGCCCAGGCCCTCTGCCCCAGTCCCCACTCTGCCTGCCCAGGCCCTCTGCCCCGGTCCCCACTCTGGGCCAACTCACAGCCTGAGGAGACCATGCTGACGATGATGGAGGTGGCGGTGCTGGAACTCTGCACCAGCACGGTGACCAGGATCCCCACCACCAGCCCTGCCACAGGGTTGGCCAGGATGGCGTTGTCCTTGAAGATGTCACCAGCCACCTTCCCTGGGAAGCATGACCAGCGTTGTGCACAGCCCTTCAGGAAGTCCCCCTGACCCCTGTCCCCGCCAATGGGGTCTTACCTCCCGCCAGCTGGAAGGCAGAGCTAAGCACGTCAAGGGAGCAGACAAAGAGGTAGAGGAAGGTGACCATGAGTGGCAACTTGAGAAGTGTCATGGCCGTCCGCCGCAGCTCCTGGGCCCAGCCGGACTCTGGAGGGCGCAGGTCAGCCATGAGCACAGCTGCAGGGTTGGGGCGGGGACTGCCCACACCCAGGTTGCCCCCACCAGGCAGCCCACCTGGCTTCTGCTCCTCCTCCAGGGCCAGCTTGGCAGGCAGTGGCTCGTGTCGCTCCCGGGCCTCCCCATAGGGGCAGCCATGCTCCGTGAGGGCCACAGGACTCAAGCTGGGGAAGGCATAGGCAGAGGTCCCTGGGATCCTGTGCAGAGCTGGAGAGGAGAGGGAGGCTGGTCAGGTGCTCCCAGGGGCCCCAGGGGGAGGGGGCAGGCAGGGGTGTTGAGGCCTCCCCCCAAACCCTGCCTCCGAGAATAAGCAACAGTGGGCAAGCAGACTCCAGGGCAGGGCAGCAGCACTCACCCTGGGGGCTGGGCACATATGCAAAGGTGGCCCCATGCATCATGGGGCCCCTGAGTCCTGCGCGGACTAGGGGTGGGGACACAGCCGGGCTGCTCAGCTGCTCTCCATAGGATATCATCCTGGGTACCCGTGTGCACCTGCATTGGGAGGGGGTGGCAGCAAGGCTGAATGACAACAGCTGCACCTCAGGGGCACACACACACATGCACACATGCACACACGCCCGCCAACCCCCAGACCACACGGAGACGCACACTCGGGCTCAGTGCAACGTTGGGCATCATTTATTCGGCAATCGACTCCATCCCAGGCTCTGAGCTGAGTGTTGGGGTACAGCAGTGACTCAGCTCCTGCCCTTGGCAAGTAGGGAGACAAACATAACTTGAATAATCCTCTGCCAGACAGAAAATAGCCAAGAGCATGTTGGCATGACAGCCAGGATGCCACCAGAGCACCCCGGACGGGGGGTGCAGAGTGTGGGATCTGGGGGCGGGGAGATCATCTAACTGTGGTGCTACCTGGGCAGTGGGGCCAGGGAAGTGTGGCCGATGGGCCAGGGACCAGGAGGTGAAGCAGACGCTGCAGGTGTGGCCCAGGCCCCGGGCTGCACAGGGGGTAGTGGACACTCCTGGCACACACTGCTGGAGGGTGCCCTGGCCTGTATCCCAGGTTCCTGGTTTCCCCTCCCCATGAGCTCTGCCTCTCCAGGGCAGGAAACAAGCACTTTCTTCCCCCAATGGGGTTTCCCTCGCACCATCCAGGAGTTCCTGACGATTGGAGTGGGGGCTCTGCCTCCCTCAGGACCCCTCTGTTGTCCCAGGGGTCATTGGCTTTGGGGTGGGGAAGTGTGCAGAGCTGAATTCCCAGTGCAGTCTAGGGGAAGGAGCCAGGCCGGGTTGGGGTTGTGACGCTCACGATGCTGTAAGGAGTGGGAAGAGGGAATGGGGAGGGGGCACAGATAGGAGTGGGGGGTAGTGGGGAGGGCACAGATAGGACAGAAACGGAGCTTAGGTGATAGGCTGTTTCCTGCCGAGACGGGGTCGGGTGGGGATGCGGGGACCCTGGCTCACCTTGGCGTCTGTGTTTCAGCTCCTGCTCAGTGGCTCAAGGAAGCCTCCAGGAGCCCGAGAACCTCCTAGCCTCTTCTTTATACCCTCGGGTCAAGGGCAAAGTCTCTAGAATCCTAGCTGCCCTCCCTCTCTTCCCCAATTAACCTCACCCCCAAGATTCCTTCCAGTTAATTGCTAATCGTGGGTTCTGCAGGGGGCGTCTGAAGTCAGGCTCCCCTCCCCCACACAGACACTGGGCCTGGACTGCAACACAGGAGGGCCCAGGTGACCCTCTGCCCCCAGCAGGGACCCTGATACAAGGGTCTGGGAAGAGATTCTGTGGCTCTGGTCCATTCTCCTCATTACTGGCCCAATAGCACTACCTGGGAAGTGCCCTAAGTATAGTGTGGCCTTGCTCTTCAGCTGAGTGTCTGTGGGTCCATCTGGGCATCTTGGGGTGGGGTGGGAGCTCAGAAGAGGGAGCAGGTGCTGGAGAAAGCATCAGGGGACAAGCCCAGATTGGCTGTACAGCGTTGAGTTGTAGAGGGGCCCAGTGCCTGGCCAAGGGTGGTAGATCCAGGCTGTGAGTGGCCAGACTGGGAAGGGCCTGGTCCAATGAGCGTTCTGGGAGGGGGGTCACAGAGAAAGCATTTGGAAGGCTGATGAGACGGTCCAGGGGAGAGAGGATGAGACCAGAATAAGGTGGGAACAGGAGGGATGGGGAAGCTGCATGCCTCCCCAGGACACTCCAGCAGTGGATTGGTGAGGAGGAGAGGAGCAGATGGCGTAGTTGATGGCTGCATCTCTTCATCAGAAAGTTGGTGATGAGACGAGGTCTGTGCAAAGGAGTCTCAGGGAGCCTTAGAGAGCCATGTTTCTCTCTCATGGGACTGTGGAGCATGAGCAGTGACCCAGATTCACAGGGAGATGAGAGGGAACTTGGGGAGGGATTAAAGGTTTGATCAGATTGAGCAATGGTGAGTTCTGTTCAGGATCTAAGTTGGAAAGCTGAGTAACAACAGTAACTCCCCAATAATATCCATGCATCTCCATCCATCCACCCATCCATCATCCATCCATCCCCCCACCATCCATCCATCCATCCATCCACCTACCATCCATCCATCATCTACCCATCTATCCATCCATCATCCATTCAGCCACCCATCAATCCATCTGGTTCATCTACCCATCCATCTATCCATTCATCCCTCTAGCTAACCAGCCCTCCACCCAGCCACCCACCTATCCGTCATCCATCCATCCACCCATCCACCCATGCACCCATTCACCCATTCACCCATCCATCATCCATCAATCCATCTGGTTCATCTACCCATCCATCTATCCACTCATCCATCCATCCACCCACCCATCTGGTCATCCAGCCAGCTGTGTGTCTTTCCATCCATTCCTGAGCACATTTGTTGAGCTCCTCTTTATGCTGGGCCAAGACCAGCAAGGCCAACTTCTCTCCTGGTCTGAGCAAGAGCCTAAGCAATCCCTGAATCAGCACTGGATTCTGAGGCAAGTCGTGTCACTTCCCTCCACGTCTAAAATGGCAATGAGTTAGCAGTGCTTTTTCAGGGAGTTGTAGAATTCAGTGTTGCCATGGTTGGAGCAGAGTCCCTCGGCTGGCAGTGCCAACCGGGAGAAAGCCCCCATGTTCTCTAGACTGGCCCTGTTTCAGGTCGACACCTGCTCTCAGCTTACCAGCTGAGAAGTCCCCTAGCTGCAGTCCCATGGCAGGGTGACACAGACCCAGCCTTTCCATGAGAAAGACAGATGGGTCTGCATGGGTCCCCCTTAATTTGACAAAGGTTAATGAATTAAAAAAAATTTTTAAATTTATTTTTCACTTAATTGAAAGACAGAGTTAGGAGACAGAGAGAGGAGACAGAAAGAAAGAGAGAGAGAGAGAGTGTCCATCATTGGATCAGTACCAGAATGACCACAATGGCCAGGGGCTATGCCACACTGAAGCCAGGAGCCAGGAGATGCTGGCACTGCAGGCGATGGCTTAGCCCACTACACCACAATGCCAGCCCCACAAATTCATTCTGATTTTTTTTAAGATTCATTTATTTATTTGAAAGGCAGAGCTATAGAGAGAGAGACAGACAGAGAGAGAGATGGAGGGGGGCTTCCATCCACTGGTTCGCTCCCCAAATGGCCACTATGGCCAGGGCTGGGCCAGGCCAAAGCCAGGAGCTTCTTCCAGGTCTCCCACACGAGTACAGGGGTCAAGCACTTAGGCCATCTTCTTCTGCTTTCCTGGGCCATAGCAGAGAGCTGGATCGGAAGTAGAGCATCTGGGACTCGAGTTGGCACCCATATGGATACCAGTGCTGCAGGCCAGGGCTTTAACCCCCTACACCACAGTGCTGGCCCCATGAATTCTTTTTTTTTTTTTTTTTTTTTTTTTTTACAGACAGAGTGGACAGTGAGAGAGAGAAACAGAGAGAAAGGTCTTCCTTTGCTGTTGGTTCACCCCCCAGTGGCCGCTGTGGCTGGTGCGCTGCGGCTGGCACACCTCGCTGATCCGAAGCCAGGAGCCAGGTGCTTCTCCTGGTCTCCCATGGGGTGCAGGGCCCGAGCACTTGGGCCATCCTCCACTACACTCCCGGGCCACAGCAGAGAGCTGGCCTGGAAGAGGGGCAACCAGGACAGAATCCGGCGCCCCGAATTCATTCTTAATTCACTGCCTGGGCATAGAAGTGGTCCCCTGCATAGACTTCATAATGGACTTTGTCAGAGTAGCCAGGAGTAGAGACCCAGCCCAGCCTGGCTATGGATCCCAGGCCGGTGACAACATGGCTTTGTCAGTGTAGACCTCAGAATCCCCAGGGGAGAGGAGAAGGTGAGGCGCGGGTGCTGCTGGGAGTGGGTTTGGAGTGAGTGACTGCAAGTTCTGGTTGGCTTGAGCATTTTCTGGTTTCAGACTATTGACCCAGAGTCCTGTTTCACTCTGAAAAGTGTCCTGGTTTGAACGCCAAACCGTAGCATCAGCCTGTGTGGGGACAACCCGGGGAACTCAAGAGCCTGTGTGGGGACATCCCGGGGAACTCAAGTAGAAAAGCAGCCACCTCAGAGAGCTTCTCAAAAGGTCTCCAATTACCCAGCAGCCCCACTTCCCAGAGAGGCCGCCAGGACGCTGGGGACACGGCTGTCCACCCCTCCTCCTGCACTATCGGGCCATCAGCCGAGTTCTGTCTTCACACGCAGCACACACGCTGGTTCTAATGGTTGGATCACATCCTGTCATGAACCCTATTTAGGTAGCGGGTCTTCGGGTGTCTTAGAACCTCTTCAGTTTGGAGGGTATGGCTTGGTTAAGGTTGGCACTCAGAGGTTGGGCAAGGGGGACTTCCCTGGGTCAGAGAAATGCCATCATTAGAAGTTTTGCATCCCGGGGCTGAGGCCCTGTTAAGGTCACATCAGGGAGGGGCTTGGAGGCTGTCTGGGCCCAAGCACCACCCCCACAGACACCTTGACACCACCTGCCCCAAGCATAAAGAACTCAGAAACCCCGCCCACAAGAGCTGCACTTGTGCCGCTGTCAGGAGCAGCCGTGTCCAAAGGTGATCCTGATGACCCAGGGCGCTTCTTCTTTTCAATGAGGTTAATTTTTAAATAGGTTTTTTTGAACTGGTGTTGTGGTGCAACAGGTCGAGCTGCCACCTTCGATGCCAGCAATCCATATGGGCACTGGTTCAAGTCCCGCCTGTTCCATTCCTTTCTGGCTCCCTGCTGGTGTGCCTAGGAAAGCAACAGAAGGTGGATCAAGTACTTGGGCCCCTGCCACCCACATGGAAGACTCAGATGGAGTTCCAGGCTCCTGGCTTTGGCCTGGGCCAGGCCATTTGGGGAATAAATTAACAGATGGAAGACCTCTCTGTCTTTGTCTCTCTCTGTAACTCTACCTTTCAAATAAATAAATATATTTTTTTTGACAGGCAGAGTGGACAGTGAGAGAGAGAGACAGAGAAAAAGGTCTTCCTTTTGCCGTTGGTTCACCCTCCAATGGCCGCCGCGGCCCTGGCGCGCTGCGGCCGGTGCACCGCGCTGATCCGATGGCAGGAGCCAGGTGCTTCTCCTGGTCTCCCATGGGGTGCAGGGCCCAAGCACTTGGGCCATCCTCCACTGCACTCCCTGGCCACAGGCAGAGAGCTGGCCTGGAAGAGGGGCAACCGGGACAGAATCCGGCGCCCCGACCGGGACTAGAACCTGGAGTGCCGGCGCTGTAAGGCGGAGGATTAGCCTAGTGAGCCGCGGCTCCGGCCTAAATAAATATTTTTAAATTTTATTTTTTAAAGATTTATTTATTGGGGCTAGCACTGTGGCATAGCAGGTAAAGCCACTGCCTGCAGTGCCGCTATCCCATATGGGTGCTGGTTCTAGTCCCAGCTCCTCCTCTTCTGATTCAGTTCTCTGCTATGGCCTAGGAAATCAGTAGAAGATGGCCCAAGTCCTTGGGCCCCTGCACTCACGTGGGAGACCTGGAAGAAGCTCCAGGCTCCTGGCTTCAGATCGACCCATGTTCGGCTGTTGCGACCATTTGGGAGTAAATCAGTGGATGGAAGGCCTCTTTTTCTCTCTCTCTCTACTTTTGTCTCTGTATTTATTTGAAAGGCAGAATTACAGAGAGAGAGAGAGACAGAGACAGAGATTGAGAGAGAGAGAAATTGTCCACCTGCTGGTTCACTCCCCCAATGACTGCAATGGCTGTAGCTGGGCTGATCCAAAGCCAGGAGCTTCTTCTGGGTCTCCCACATGGGTGCAGGGGCCCAAGCACTTGGGCCATCTTCTACTGATTTCCTAGGCCATAGCAGAGAGCTGGATCGGAAGAGGAGGAGCTGGGACTAGAACCAGCACCCATATGGGATAGCGGCACTGCAGGCAGCAGCTTTACCTCCTACGCCACAGTGCCGGGCCCCCAAAAATCTTTCTTCCTTTCTTTGTTTTTTAAGATTTATTTATTATTTGCAAGGCAGAGTTAGAGAGAGAGAAGTATCATCCATCTGCCTGCTCACTCTCTAAATGGCCACAGTGTTTGGGGAT